CTTGCGAAAGAGAGGGGTGGCGGTTCATTCAAAAGCAGCAGCAGCAGCAGCGGTGTAGGGGGGGGGGGGGGGAGTTGTAGATACTTGCTTGCCACCGCACTCAACCGGCCGCAGAGATGTAACCAAGCGGCACAGCAGTGTTTCGGTGTACATGGGTTCGGCATAGCATCGCCGAGCCCGGTCGCGAGGGGGGGGGGAAACAACAGCGGTATAGCAGGCGTGAACGGGCTAGGGAAGCACGTGTGCGCCGAACCAACGAAAAAAAGAATACAAAATGTGTCCTTCATTGATGAGATGATCGAGCGCCTGAAACAAGCTGATGGTTCACGACCCTGCCGACGGCGCTCTTGGCGGTGCCTGGAAAGCCTATATGCACCATGACTACTGCTGTATTCGTGGAAATGAAACCGTCAAATTGAGATGGCACAACTTGTTGTCGGGCGAAAACGGGGGTGGGTTTTACTGTACCTCTCTGAAAGGCGTGTCTCCGTCCAGGGTCATCGGCCGGACCCGCTGGCTGAGGTAGGGCGACGCACCGACTAGTTCCTTCAACGACCTGACAAACGCCACGTGAATGGGCACAGCTAGATGGGTGTGTTGCGAGGTGGTCATCAACCAACGAAATCCGTTCAGCTATGTACCTGGCAAAAACAGAAAAAGATCACGCAAACACAGGTAGAGGTGGCGTGGTGTTCATCCACCGACTATGTAGTTCCTTCAACGACCAGCAAAAGCACCTCTCTCCATGGGTAGATGGGTGTGGTCCTCATGAACCATCGAGAGAGAGACGGGCAACGACCAACAAATGTCGGCGAACAGAGTGGGCGCCCACAACTGGGGCATGCGCTGCAAGGACTACCCCACTTTTGCCTTGAATAGAAAAAAAAAAGTGCGACCAACCCTCCTGAACTGCTAGCATTCTGCGGCGCCCCAACCTAAACTACCTCGGTCTCCGCAACATATCGTCCCCATCCCCGGTCTCCCCAAAAACCAGCAAACACGCCGCAAACCACGCGAAAACTAAACTCAAGCGCGCACCAAAACATCTGGTATTAACATTATTCATCCTTAACCCAAAATATCTGGTATTTACCTCATTTACACATAAACCAAAATATCCGGCATTCCACTTCTGAGCCAATTGTAGTTCGTACGCACCTGAGCTGGTCCTGTGCGAGAGCCTTGGTCGGAAAGAGGTACAGCGCGACGGCGTCCGGGCGTGGGCCGACGATGGCGTCGATGACGGAGACGTTGAACACCACCGACTTCCCCGACGACGTGGCGGTGGACAGGGCCACGTGCCGCCCGGCCGCGGCGGCGTCGATGGCTAGGGCTTGGTGCTTAAACAGCCTTTGCCAGTTAGAAAGGGGGTCGGGCCCGAGGGTGGGGGGTGGGGGGCACTCGTGTAAGCACGTGCTGTAGTTATTGGGTCGTCCACCAAGCAGCATCCCTTGAGAGAGACGACTCGAGCACCGCCGGATCTGCTCTTGACAGTTGACAGCGTACTGTCCGACTGCAGCATACGAGGGTGTATATCGGACGTTTCCGCGTCCAGACGAAATCGAAGGCACGGGTCGAACGAAAGGCGGAAAAAGGAAAGCAAATGTGCCGCGAACGTGTGCGCGTATGCACGTACCGCACTAGTGCTGTCTGGCCCCCATTCTCTCACTGTCGGCGACCAACGCAACACCGACCACAAAGGGGGGGGGGGTAGGAATTGAAAAAACCAAACCATAAAATCAAGCCAAATACGTGACTATTTACACCGCACGCCGCAAACCGCAGGCGCACGCATTGCGCTCAGCACTGCGGCACGACGCTGCGTACCTCTATCTAACATACTCCGGAGCACTCAGTTAGCGGGCCAACTGAGTTATCCAATGGATTAGCCTTTACCATCTCACAGCGTACTCCCCTTCTTCTTCTCTGTCCTACGCCCTTGCGGTCGGTGTTGCTACATGCTACATACCTCGTCACCCCCTTCGAACGCTCCAGCGCCGCCTTCAACTCCGGGTGCAGTGGCCTTAGCGTGTCCTCGTACTCCCCGGACCTGCCCGGCAGTGTCTCGGAGTAGACCGCCTGGTCCTCGTAGATGGGCAGGGACTTGAGGTACTCCAGGGCCCGGAGCGGGTCGAACCTGTGTACCGGACAACGGTTGTATCGGTCTGTCTCAATTTATTCTACGTTTTGTTTTCGTTGGGGGGGGGAGGGGCTGGGAGGCCCCGGGGGGCGGGATAAGTGCGCATCGTGAGTCTTCCCCACAGATACAATCAACACTCAAGACAAGACAAGCAGTGAATACAACAACAACAAAAACAACAGACGCCGCAGCTCAAGTCGGACAGAAGAGCCACCTGCTGAGGCTGTAATTACCCCAGTTAATACGCACAAGATCGGTGACCGCTGCTGCACCGCTGTGCGGCATAAAAAAAAAGGAGAGAGCTAGTCCCTGCTCTATCTCTCGGCAGCCGAGAGAGGGGCACCAGACCCCCTCGTCCTAATAGCGAAAGATCCCTCCGGAGCGTTCTCAAGGAAAAGGTTCCGAAGCCTTTCCAAGTGGTACACCAAGGTGGCGAGTCACCTGGACTCGGACTCGGGTGGGGCTCTCTTGAGGTCGTTCGCGCCGTCACTCAACGCCGTGCGGGTCGACCGCACGGTGATGACGGAAGTCTGTCTGTCTGGGTGGTCGGAGTATCAAAAGCGCTATGACATCTCCCTTTCTCTCTCTCTCTCCCTTTCTCTCTCGTCTCTCTCTCTCTCTCTCTCTCTCTCTCTCTCTCTCTCTCTCTCTCTCTTTCTCTCTCCCTCTCTCTCTCTCTCCCTCCCTCTCTGACTCCCGTGCACAAAAAACGTCCCGAGGAAGACAAACCCCAACCAGAGAGAGAAAACTCGCAAAGAGGGAGACGTCCATACCTAAGCTTCTCTGCCGCGCCCTCTTCAGCGCCCGGTGGACCTTCGTCTTGCTTCCCGCCCCCCTCAGACCCGGCCCGTCCCTCCCCACGGGGGCGTTTACCCTTGGCGCTTGGGTTCAAAGCCCCGCCGCTTCGCGCTCGCTGATCGCGATTTTCTCTCCAACCCACGGCCGCCGCTGCCCTATCGCTCGTGCCTCCGTCTTGGTTCCCGCCGCCGCCGCCACAAGCGGTGGTGTACGCCGGGCTATCGCTCAGAGGGGCGAGGAGAGAGAGGGCTGTTCCGGTCGCCGGGGGGCACTTGCCTCGCGAACCCACCCCCGCCCTCGAGGCGCGGTCACGGTTGTTTCCTCCAGGTGCCGATGTCCTGGCGCCGCGTTTGCCGCCTTTTCCACAAACCTCACCGGCGGCGGCGGCGGTGGCGGCAGTCTCTGCGCCTCCCGCCGGCACCGCAGCTGCCCCGCTCCCACTACCGTTGTTAGCACTCCTGCTGCCTTGATCGCATCCCAATGCCGTCACGGCTGCTGTATCCGTACTTGCTCCGCGCGTAGCATCTGTTGCTGCCGCTGCTGCGCCACAGCCGCCACTACCGCCACCGCTACCGCCACCGCTACCGGCGCTGGCGCCGCCGTCGCTGCCGCCGTCCGGAAGCCGTCTTGTCCTACCCTCGGCATGATCGAGCATGGCCTGACGCACCAGCTGCAGCCGCTTCGAGACCTTGGCCTTTCCCGTACCTGCTGTGTTCTTCTGAGGGAATCGGAGTTCCAGTCGCCGGCTCTTTTGGGGATATGGACCGCAGGCAGGCACATGCGGGGGGGACACGGATAACACGGAGGTTTACGTGGCGTTTGGGGCTAGAGTGCGTTTCCCACCGCGATATCGTCTTCGTCTGCTACTGCAGGTGTACAACAAATAACGCACCACTGTACAATAGCCGCGCCGCCGCTACTACCGTCACCTACATACCTCCCCGCCACCACCATCGCCAAGAGAAACAAGAACGGCAACGGCAGCACCCGACCAAAACGAGGACAACAACACAGCAGTGGTCGTAGCGGCGCAACCGAGGGCCGCCTATGATACTACCTTCTCGGCCGCGGACACACCTCGCAAGGGGGCCCCGCCGACTGGAGGCCATCATTTCCCCCCATGGTGTCGCAATAGCCGCCGCTTTCGGGGGGCTCCTCCAGCACCAGCACCAAGCGAGCAAC